TTTTTCTTAAAGTTTAAGGTAAATAACACTTTTAACTCTGACAATTTGACTCAAATTTCACTTTCATTCATATCTCACATTAAACAATTAGGTTTTCAAGTTAGCCATTCCATTCAATGTGGATATTTAAAATTTACGATTTTGAGACACTTATCAGTTCCTTAATATATATTCATATAGAAAAATTAACAAAAACCTTAGATGAAATGATCAAAATAAAACTAAATTTGAAATTGCTCAATTTGAAACAATAGAGACCCAAGTGACATTTGAATCAAACTATAAAGGTAAAAATGTAATTTACCCTTTTTTTGTTGTATTTTTTGTTTTTAAAGTAATTTCAATCATATGACGTCGTTGGAATCTTAAAATGTGAAAATGAAGACTCGATTGTTTGACAAAGAGTACATTAAAAACATGAGAACAACAATTTTTAGAACAGATGATCCTGTACCACAAACAAATTTCTCTCTCTCACTTACTACGTGTTTATTGTTGATGCAGCCCATGGATCATGCAAATTTCCATAGCTGATGGGTTTTGCAATGACGGAAGGGACAACTTGATTTTAGCAAATAAAGTGCATTAAAAATTTATCTAGTAGTTTTTTTTCTTCTTATTTTTGAACACCAAAAAAAAAAACAAGAATTTTATTGATGAAAAATAAAATACATTACATATGAGAATATATCAAGGTTGCTCAACCAACTCCCTTGATGCAGAATTTGACATGATGCAGATTATAAATAATATCATTGAAAGAACAGCAGCAGCCAAAATCAGCTAGCCCACCCCTGCGTGACAGTGCCTAACCTGTCTGAGGCACTCCACTAAATCATGAACTGAGTATGGAACATCTTTAATAGTGGATTTTGCCCAAAAAGCTACCCTAACTTTCACAATTTCGACTAGATCCACCAAGTTTGGCTGACAACCATTGAACACACACTCATTCTTAGTTTCCTCACTTACCACAACATTGCCATAGGGACTAATTTCCAGATCTTACTCATTAGCGTCTTGAATTTAACTCCCATCCACCAATAGAAAAAACCTTCAACAGTTGCAGGTGACACCAACTGTAAATCCGACCATTGCATCAGTCTTGGCCATACCTTCCAAATCACAGGGCAAAGTAAGAATAAGTGGTTCACACTGTCTCCTCCTTACAGAAGCACTCCTAATCTCTGAAGATGGTCTGCCGTTTTGATCCTTTCCCTCCATGCCAACCAACTCAGAAATTGAACTCTTTGGGGAGCAACATTACCCCAAATCAGTTTTGGAATGAGCAAACTAGGCCCTTTTTTAGCCTCACCCCATTCCCTAACAGCTGCAACCATAAATTGGCCTGAAGATGATGCGCACCGTCTCATTGAATGTGGGTTCCCACATTCAACCATGGAGGCACACCTAATAAGCCTAGCAACCTTTCCACCTCCTCTTCCTCCCAACTAATAATTGTCTTCTGAAGTTTTAACTTTCATTACCCCCTGCACTTGCTTTTGAATGCACTACCAAACTTACTGTACTCTCCTTGTCAGTAGATAGCCTGAACAACCTGGGAAATTCCTCTTTCAAAGCTACCTAACAAGCAATTGTTAGACCAGAACTTAACTCTGCAGCCATCACCAATCACAATCTATATATTGGATTTAAAAAAAAAAATTAAAAAAACTGAACAAATCAGGGTTTGAGCTAGCCACATCCATGTAAAAATATATGTATTATTGATTGATTTGTATTGATGTTGTTTATTCTGTTTACAATGATTCATATATAGAAGAGAAGAAGGTAGTAGGTGAAGGGGTAGTGGAGGTGGTAGGTGGAGTGAGTGTTAGTGGAGGTGGTAGGTGGAGTGGGGTATGGTAAATTCTAACAACCCCCCGCAAACTCAAGGAGGATAGAAACTAACCAACTTGAGTTTGAAGAGAGGAACAAAACAAGAAAATACATAAAAATAAAAAAAATAGGAGACACTGTATGGTCGTGTCAGACCGTTGGTGAAGACACTGAAAGGTGGTGTCATAACGTGGTAGAGGACACTGGATGGTGGTGTCATAACGTTGTAGAGGACACTGTATGGTGGTGTCATAACGTGTAGAGGACACTGGATGGTGGTCTCATAACGTTGTAGAGGACACTGTATGGTGGTGTCATAACGTGTAGAGGACACTGTATGGTGGTGTCATAACGTGGTAGAGGACACTGTATGCTAACCGGAATCAAATATCGGGACAGTTTATGGGGTCTTGTCGGACCGTTGTAAAAGGCTAACCGGAATCAATGTCGGGACAGTTTATAGGGTCATGTCGGACCGTTGAAAAAGGCTAACCGGAATCAAATGTCGGGACAGTTTATAGGGTCATGTTGGACCGTTGTAAAAGGCTAACTGGAATCAATGTCGGGACAGTTTATGGGGTCATGTCGGACCGTTGAAAAAGCTAACCGGAATCAAATGTCGGGACAGTTTATGGGGTCATGTCGGACCGTTGTAAAAGTGGCACCCTCAAAAGGTGTGCCCAATTTTGTCAAAAGGCGTGCCATCAAAAGGCGTGCCCAATTTTGTCAAAAGGCGTGCCATCAAAAGGCGTGCCCAATCCATCAAAAGGCGTGCCGGACATGATGGCGAGGCACGTGGGCGCCTTGGCTTGCGCGCCCGTGTTGTTGGCTGGTGGTAAGAGGCGCGCGATGCGCGTGGCTGCCTCGGCTATAAGACAGAGGCGGAGGCTGAGGCAAAAAAAACCTGCGAGAGATATTCTGAGAGAGATTTCTGAGAGAGATACTGTGTAACACTCTGGTGCCTAGAAAATGGCTTCATCGTCTTCCCGCGGGCTGCTCACCCTCTTTCCCGACCTCAACGAGTCAACAAGAGAGACAACTGGTGCGGTGGCACGTGAACCTCAACCAAACACCGCTGGTTTTGCTCCGTTGAACTTTCCGATGCGGTCTGTGGAGCAAAAAATGGCAGGGCAAACAGATATTGAAGCCAATCAATATACACTGAAGTCATGTGTGGAAACCATGACTGCGGTTACAAATTTGTCGAACCGGCTGCAGAGTAGAACAAATGAGGTGCAGCATTTGAACGGCCAACTGGCTCTGCTTCAGCGCATGTATAAGGATGCGCGAACAGAGATAAGCGTGCTGAAGGCGGAAAATAAGGAGCTGAAACGGAAGGCCACCGTGATGTTCCGTTTTGGAGGTCCGCCATATGCTGCAGTGGAGGAGCAGGGAGTAGTGATCGTGCCCAGTGGAGTGGGAAACACGGAGGCAACACCATCAAGGGCCATCCAGGACGGAGGCAAGAAGAAGAGACCGGCGGCATTCTTACTATTTTTTTTTCCTTTTCTCACCAAACCCCTCATCCAAACGAAGTGTAAATGACATAAATAGCAAGAATAGCAAATTCCATAAATAAAACAAGGATTTCATTAATAAGTGTCATTATGGCCTAAGTTGAAACTGCATTAAATGAAGCCAACGACCTCCACTAAATAATGAATGCTTGATTAGGAAGAATTTGTTTTTTTTGTAATATGACCAAAATATCCTCTTTCTTTTGAGTTTGCTTTCTTTTTTTAATTTAATTTTTTTATGTTTGGTTAAAAAAAATAATGTTTTACTCTCTTTTTTTGTGCATTTTTTGTTTCAAAATTATTAATTAAACTTGTATAATCTAACGTACTTTGCCCTAACAATTTTCAATGAATAACATAAAAAAATATTTTTTTAAATAATAATACTGATTTTCAAAAGGTGGAATATAAAAATATATATATATATATATATATTAAAATAGAAGAAAAAGTGTGAAATAAAGTATTGTGATAAAATAAAATAAAAAGAAAGGTGAGTGGGAACATGAGTGTGTGGAAAGAAGGAAAAAGAAAAAGTATGGGTGATGGGTTGGGGAATCACAGCTGGGCACCACTTATATCCTCTCTGGTTTGAGTTGCATGGGCACCACTTATATCCCCTCTGTAAAGCAACCTGATTGGAAGCACAATCCCACATCGTCTGCAACAACCACCGACGTACCAACCCAAAGAGAACCACACAAGGCCGTAACAAAATCCGGCGAGGTACCTAGAATGTGGATGGCAACGTCACTGTACCACCAGCACAGTGTATAAACACCAGCACCGGTGAAACCAGAACAAGAACGCGCCGAAGATGAGAGCGCTTCTCAAGCCGACGTACCAACCCAGTTCACGAAGTCCATCAGCCAAAACACGTACCGTTTCACACCAATTACCGCCTGCAGCTCATCACCGTAGCAACATCACAAAGCGAAACCAGAACCTGGACCAGGCGTCGGCGATTGGAATGTTGCTGGAGCGACAAAAGCCACAAGAAAGCACCATAAAAGTAACCAGCCGGAACTGAAACCGGACTGGAAAAAAAAAACTTTCCCCGTTAGAAGCCAGTCCAGTATAGCCGGAATAGACACAGCCTTCCATGGCCGGAGTAGACACGACTTTCATGGGTATACAAAGAACACAACAGCCAGAGACCGCAACCAATGGCCGAAACAAAATGGTGCACTTGAAAAACACCCGAAACCAACAACTTCACTCCGTAAATAATCAACACCAACCGGAATAGAGGTAGGTAAACAAGATGTCTAGTGTTTGTGTTTGTGCTTGGACAGCAGCTGGGGAGGAAGCACATGCAGAGTGATCAAGGTATGTGTTTGTGATATGTGTTGAAAAACTCCCGCGGGCAGCGAAGGCAAGGTTGCCGGCCGGCTGCCCGCCAGAAAGAAAGGAGTATAGGCCTAAATCTTATGGCTCTGATACCATGTAAAAATATATGTATTATTGATTGATTTGTATTGATGTTGTGAATTACAAATGGTGAGTGGCTCATTATATAGGAGAAGGTGAGTGTAGTAGGTGAGGAGTAGGTGAAGAGTAGGTGGTGGTAGGTGATGGTAAATTCTAACAGAGTGTATGGTAGCAAGTGGTATAGGACGATCTTGTCTGATGTAGTAAGCAATCTCATGGGCGCAAGATAAACCATGAGTGTGGCGAAGGATGCATCCACAAGCTTCAACATCAATACCAATGGAATTGGCTCTCTTACTCTCGACAAGCAAATACTCTAGTGCAGAGATAGACACATTCCCCCGTAGCTCCCTGAATTGAGAAGGTTTAAATTGATGTTGCACAACAGTTAGACTTTTCTCAAATGAAGCCTTGATATCAGTGTGTTGCAACTCAAGCAGACTGTGTATTTTCTCAAATGATGCCTGAAATGAGACTTGACATGAACCCAATTGTCTTTTAAGTTTTGCATGTGCACTCTCAGCCCTGTTCAATTAAATGTAAGTCAAGTTAAAATCAAGTACATGGCAGTTATTAATAACATATTCAACAAAAGTAATGTTACCGGTTCGTTGTAACATTGCCACAATGCATACACGTGTCTGTCCATGCCGCCACAAATTTGTCCTTGTAAGGAACCAACCAAGTATCCATGACATATTTGACTGCATCAGGATAACTACTGAATTCCTTAAGTAATGATTTAAGACGCTCCTCGTATTGAATTTCAGAAGATGAATACACTACAGAGTTCCACTCATGGTTGAACTTCTCCCATTTTTGCTGTGTCTCAAACATTTTCTTGCATTTGGTCAACACATTCTTACTGATATGCCAACGACATAATAAATGTCTGGCACTCGGGAATATCTTCTGTATGGCATTCATCAAGGCTAGCTCTCTGTCAGTAACAATAACTGTTGGCACAACAAACCCATCCATGACATCACGTAATGTGGCTAACACCCACGCATAGTTATCGACCCTCTCATACTGTAAGTATGCAAAAGCTACAGAGAATGTCATTTCAGTTGATATCACTCCCACAATTTCAAGAAGAGGAAGCCGATATCTGTTGGTTTTATATGTGCAATCCATAATTAATATACGCGGGAAAGACCGAAATAAGTCCAAACTGGTAGGATGTGCCCAAAACAAGTCAATCACAGTCATCGTGGACTCTTCAGACCGATGGCGCTCAATGTAATTATACTTGGCCAATTCACCCAATAAGTGTTGCATCTGTGATCTTCCAGCTCGCTGTACCACCCTGTTTCGATGGCGTACATTGTAAATGGTTTTAAGTGTGCTTACATTGAAGGCATCTCGCTGTTTCAAGGTTACTAGGATTTCTTTTGGCCGAACCATGCTCTTTGACATATCCATTAACAATGCTTTCTCATCCTTGGATAGCCTCCCCGCATATGAATGTCCCTCGAGGTGCTCCGCAGGTGGATGATTATGCAATCCGCATACACGGTCAATGTCCATTCATCATGTGTGGCAAACCTGTGAGCCCTCATATCAAAAGGACAACCACACTTCTTCGTACCGGTTATTCTTGATGTATTGTTGCCATCATGTTTTAACTTCTTTGTTGCTCTATATTGGCCACTCCTCTCACAAGCAAGATACATCCTGGGTCTTTTTTTCCCTCCACCATAGTCTGATGTTTTGATTACAATGACCAAACCATTTCTCTTTCCAACTTCACGTACCCAGTTGAGCAATTCATCCTTACTTTTGAATACCTACAAAGTTAAATAAATATTATCAAACATTTACATTTGGTGAGCAATTCAAAACATAATCGTTATAATTTCGTAGACTAAACCTGTTCTGTTGTGAATTGAGTGGTGTAATCTAACACAAAATTCGCGCAAACCTGACTTCCTTGAGTTGACACATATTCCTGCATGTTTTGTATAACATTACAAATTTTTAATGGCATTATAAAGATTAATTTGCAATTTGAAACTGTAAATTTGGTATGCAGTTTGCAAATTTGGAATATAAAATGGAAAAAAAAAAACCCCTGGACCCCAGCGAGCTGACTGGGTAGCTCGATCCCCGTCATAGTCAGCAAAATGGAAAACACGAAAGAATTAAAACCACAAACTTCTCTGCAAGGCACAATTCGGGTTGGATTCACATCTAAAAACTCATAGCCTCACTGAAATAAAAGTACGAATACAAATACAACCGAAAGGAGTTTTGTCAAACGAGATTGCCAAGAATAAAAACCTAACAATCTCTCCCTTTAGCAATGCTGTGACAAAACACACCTAACAAATAAAATCCTAATCAACCCAACCCACTACAGCCAACAAAAGCAAGCTTCTTTATCAAGGTTATGATCTGCAAAATAGCTATTAGTGCCCACAATCTCCAAAACAACTATTAGTGCCACAAGAGTATATGAAAAAACAATAGTCATAAGACAAGATTATCTTGAAGCATGAGATAGAAATATGAATAGATGTAAATTAGGGATTTTAAGAACATGTAGTATGAATAGATGAAAATTCTAAGACGCATGCACCCTCAAACCTTCTCCCCCTTTTTGTCATGAATTGTCAAAGGAAACTCAAACAATGAAAGTAAGAGCATAAATCACACAAGCAAGGATATGATGATGTAATTAGCAGTAGCATGCAAGAAGGAAACAATAAAGAAGCAGTACATAGTAACATGCAAAACAACTAAAGCCAATCTCCCTTACCAAACAAATCAAAGTGTTCATGCTAACAAACTCTTGCAATGATAAACCAAACTCCCCCTTTCTAAAAACAACCACAAACACTGAAAATAGTGAACAAGAAGAAAAAGACAAAAACAAAATATGGAGAATCAAGCGAGAAATTTCAGATTTGTATCTTAAAAACACGCAAGATTATCCAAGAAGCACAATTACATGAAAACACAATATGCACAGCCTCTAGAAGATCCCTCACAAAAAAAAGTGGTGTATTATGTGAAAAACATAGATCCCATGATAAAAGGGTGTGTGTGTGTGTGACTCTTGGAGTTCGACAAACGCTAGATTTAAATCCTAATAGTGATCTGAAAGCTGGACCTCTGACAAGAGAATCTAAGCACAACTAAGGAAAATCAAACCACTAGGAATCAAGGGGTATTTGTGAGTAAAAGCGGAGGCTCCCCCTCAATCAATGAATCATTTCTTTCTTTCTTTTTTTCTTTTGCACATTTTGTTTTTTTCTTTCTTTTGCACATTTTTTTTTCTTTTGCGCACCCTTTGGCGGCTGACATGCTCAAGATTATGGAAACCAAACCAGAGAAGCATAGATATAATAAGGATAGCCTGGTTGATGACTCTGAGGTAGCCTTTTCCTCATAGCTGGGCTACAAAGAACAGAAGGGAAAGCCGTGGAGATACAAAAAGATAGAAGGTGGTTAAGAGACTCAACATCACCCATGATATGCTAGTATAGGTCAATTCCTCTAGAAAAGCGAAAGATTCAATGCCAAAAGTCAATAGAGAAAAATGATCACTAAGGC